CTCTCTGTACCCCCCCCCCCAACCAGTGCTCTTAGGGAGCATCTACACATGCATTCATGCCCTTTAGTTCATGCACATTGAATCTAGTTCTTCCATTGCGAGGTACTGAAGAACTGTGCATTAGCCGGTCTTAATGCACAGTAAGGGGGTGTCATGTGTCACACACAGCGTCATGTGTATTCAGCATCCCTGGCCTTTCAGCTCGGATCGAGCATAACCTATGCTTATCTAGGGGAAATACTGTGATCACGACTGTGGTTTCCTAGTTGCACCCAGGGAAGCCTGCTATGAAGGCGTGGAATAGTACCCATGTAGGGGTACCTTGGTTTTATGCCCACTTTATGGAAATAGGAGACTCCTCCCTAGCTTGCTCCTGCAGCCATATGGCTAAGGGCAAGCGAAACTTGGGGGCATCCAAACTCCAGGCTTGGGCCTGCAAGTAGGATGCCCACCAAAGGATTTGGGAACATCTGAAGCCCCAGGTGGGGTGGTGGACGTTTGCTGGTAATAGGGCCACTTACGGTTCTTGACCGACTCATGGATTTGGAATTTGATTTGGCTAATTTGGCTTGGAACGTGAAAAATTCTCTTTAAAAAAAAAAAAAAAAAAAGTATTCAGTATCCCTGCACCTCAAAATGGCGGCGGGGATGCTTTAAAACGCATTCAATGAGCTGTAGTTTCGTAGATGTTGGGGACAGGAAGGGACTTGACAGATCATCGGGTCCAGCCCCCCCCTGCACTTGGGTAGGAAAGATGGCTGGGACCAGACGACCCCAGCAAGATGGGCGTCAAGATGCTTTTTGAAGATCGGCAGGGTGGATGGCTGTACCACCTCTGGGGGGAGCCTGTTCCAAACCCTTCGTACTCGACTTGTAAAGAAGTTTTTCCTTGTGTCTAGCCTGAGACATCCCTGCCACCATTTTGAAACAGGGACACTGAATACACATGATGCGGAGGGTGCTGGCGTGCACCAATTAGCACACTCCAGTAGACTCCATCCTCTCCGATGCTCCTAATTAGACCTCTGTCATGTGTATAGGTGCCCACGGTTTTTAAGTGACGCTCTATATGTTAATTAGCCTATTTTAAGACGCATTAACTAAATAGCGCTTTTTTAGAGATGCTTTAATGTGCACTAAAATGGACTAATGCACATTAAAGTGCATGTGTAGGTGCACCCTTGCTACTCTATCATCTTCCTGAGAGAACTTCTTAGAGCTCGTTCCCAGGGTGGGCTGGCTGCCTGGTCTTAATACCGTGGAGTCCTGTTTGAAACCTTTGGCTTGATCTTGGGAATCCTGTGTGCACCTGTAACAGTGGTGCCTTTGAAAGGATCTCAAGGCTCCCCAGGGTTGAGAATCCCCAAGTGAAGGGAAGAAACCTTACTCTTTTGGCCTGAAAATATCCCACTACTCCAGGATTGCTAAATCTCACAACTTCCTCATGAAACGTCTCCCAGTGTTGGATGTTTTTGCTAAAGTCCTGCCTGTTGGAATGGCTGCTGTTTTAAGTCCTTAGTTTTCATTTGTATATCTCATAAGGTATGTGTAAATATAAGATCCTCATGGTCACAAAAAATGTGACTGTCAAGGCCCTGGCTGTAAGTCAAGAAAGGGAAAAAAGAACCCACACTTTAATTTAATGAATTTTAAGCCAATCCTCTTACCTTGGGAGGGGGCTGTTATGTGGTCCATTTTATGCATCCAAACTGTAATTGTAAGTTAAGTGATATGTTTCTTCAGATGAGTATAATGCACCCCCTGTCTGCTGGTTCTGTTGTCCTGCAGGCTGGCAGTAGTCTCTAGGCAGGTAGGCACCATAATTATTCCGTTGTATAAGTGAGCACAGAACTGTAGAGGTTTATCTTTAAAGTCTTTGCATTATCACTTGACACAAATTCAGAAATACAAATACATGTTCTGCTTCTTCAAGTCAAGTTTTCCTGGAGAGGAAAAGAAGAAAAAATGTGGAATAAATATGTTTTCAGTTGTTCTCGTGTTGTTGATTCTTCATTCCAAATCATAGAAAATTAGGGTTGAAAGGGACCTCAGGAGGTCAACTGGTCCAATACCCTGCTCAAAGCAGGACTGTCCCCAACTACATCATCCCAGCCAAATAGTAATAGGGTTGCTATGTTCTTGAGAACACTAGCAAAAAAGACCATTTATATACTAAATTGTTTTTTCTAAGTACTCTGAACTCTCACTCCATATTAAGATGACCCCTCTTCTGTCAGTTACTATTCAGACCATTTCCCAGCTTTCAAACTGTTTTAAAATGACACATTGAAGCCTGGGTTGTTTGCAAGACAACAAATCTTTAAAATATTTCTCCAGTTTTCTGCTTGTTACAAATGCATTTTAATGGATGGAGAAAATATCACTGGTGGTTACTAGTAAGCATATTTTGGTAAGGGCTAGTAATTTTTGTAATGCTTTTGCTAAACTACCAATACATTCTCAAAATGTCACTTGGCTTAGTGAAGATGATAGCAATAGCCACATAACAATGTCGTTCCTAGCTAGAAAAAGATTGAAGTGGCTTTGACTTCTTTGTCAAAAAGTCAGAAATGCTGTTCAGGATTTATCCCAAACCCTAAAGGATAATGGAACATTCTTTTGGCTCTTAGTTTTTAGATGCAATATATTAAAAAGACAAACAAACCACATTTCTGTGATTGTGTATATAGTTCCAAACTAAAGCAAAAGTCATGCTTTGACACTCAGAATATCACTGGTATAAATGGGAGCTCTCATAGGAAAAATAAGTGAGACAAAATTTCTGTTTGGCTTTGAAAGGAGAATTCTTCCCTGTATATTTTAAGGACCAGTTTTCAGGATATTATTTAATTTTTTTAAAATTCTTACTAGCAAATCCATTTAAAAAACCAACAAAAAAAGAAACCTCTGTGCCTTCATTCCTTAACTTCTTCGTTGTTGGCCATTGTTAACATCTCTCTGACTTGGTTGAGTTCCTCCTGAGTGTCCTCAATAGCATTGCTTCAGTTTCAGGGCCTGGTTCCTACTTGTCTGCTTTGGTCCCTTATGTTATTGCTCCTTCAAACAAACCAGAAATGCCATCCTCACTGGCTTATGTGCATTTGTTCCTTCTTTCATGCCTTTATGATATGAATCAAAGCTTAAACCCTGTAAGAAGGGACAACTGCAGTCTGCTGATTTAGTGAAGCCTTTTGGAGTTATGCAGGTCTGTTCACATAGAGGTTTGAAGGACTAAGACCTGAAGATATACATTTCAGAAATTCAGTGCTGAATTAAAAAAGATATCTTCCATTATGAGTACATTTTATATGCAACAAGTGAGACAACAGGTGTGTACTACTACTACCTAGATTCCTGGGTTTCATTCTTGGGTCTGCCACAAATGTGCATGACCATTTTGGGTTACTTACTCAGAGGTGGATCTGTCTCCCGCATGCTTTTTTTTTCTCTTATATAAATAAGTTTTATTAATATTACCAGTACCTCATCTGTGGGGGTGTCACATATCTTTCTCCCAGTGAAGAAAAACAAAACTTCTACTGACGGATACAGGGATTATCCTGAGTTCTATGGGATGGTCACAGGGTGGGATTTAAATTCTCTTCTAAGGGATTTGTGAGTCTATATCCCATTCCAAAGTGGGACTTAATTCACTACAGCCTTTTTCTATCTTATCTATATACTTGTCTTTCATTATTTTAGAAGTTGGCACATACGGATAGAGAACCAGGATTTCTATTCCCTAGCTTTTTTGTTACTGACTTCCTCTTTGTATGTCTGATGCATACTAAGGATTCATAAAGGAAGTGGTTGGAAGTAATTCAGTGAAAGGTGCTACAGTCTGTAATTGCTAGTGTGGTTGTTATTGGGACAGTATATCTTATTATTATTATCATTAATAGAATTATATTTTATATGTATCATCTAATAGAATTACTTTCAAAAGAATATAAAAACTATAATATAGCACAGATGGTTGAGGTATTTTTTTCAGTAAGAGGTAAATTATGTCATTTTTAAAAGAAATTAATACTCCTGCAAATTTAATAAGGTTTATTACATATCTTAAACTTCTGTTCATTCCACCGATGTATATAGGTGTCTTACCTATGTGATAGTCTTATGTGGTTGATTATTGTAAATCATGATTCTTAAACAGAAAACAAAATTATTGTAAAGTTTGCCTGTGCTTTCAATTAGCATTAACCTATTATGAGTTTAGTTTGTTCGCATTACATTACAACTATTTAACTCAGTAGTATTTATTTTGACTCATTAAATATGAAGAATTGTAGGTCAGAGCCACATTTGCCATCTGTAAGATTGTGGCTAGTTTTCTTATCTTCATAAAAAGTAACATTTTAAAACTGTTAATGAAATGTACCAGGAATATTGAACACTGTTATACAAACTGGCTGTAGAACCTGCTCCTTTGTCCTTTAATTTGGATTCTTCTGCTTTCTGAATTCCAGATCTGGAATGGCTAAACACTGAAGGTCCCATTTCTCTGTACAAAGACCTCTGTGGAAAAGTGGTGGTGTTGGATTTCTTCACTTACTGCTGCATCAATTGTATGCACCTGCTGCCTGACCTCCATGCATTAGAGCGCAAGTATTCTGATAAAGGTATCAACGCTTTTGTTCGCTTGGAATAGAATTTCCTGGCAGTGTCACTGGTGGAGTAGCTGAGTCACTTGTTGCTGGTTGCTAAACATTTGGCAAGACTATAGTGGCGTCTAAAAGTGTCTTCTAATCTGTTATCCTGAAAGGCAGAGGACTGTATCTACTCCACAACACTTCTAAAAGGGGTTAAATTTGGCAGCTGTTGTATTTCTAACTTTAGAGAAGCCATATTAATACTTAAGAACCCAAAGCAAGTATCTATGTAAATAAAGCTGTTTGCAGAATAATGCACTACTGAAGTGGTTGACTTGGGTACTAAGTTTCTAGATGTCTAAACAATGTGTTCAAGACTTGATAGATTTAAAAATAAGCGAGTGCCTGAGGGTTCGTGCCTAGTCTGAAAAGGGATATGCATACTGTGCTTAAGCTCTATGCTTGTACTCTGAAATCTCACCCTAAGGTTTTTTACCCAAGTCTGACTGTCTCTTGCTTATTTTCCTGCAAAACTTCTTTTCTTCCTTTTTCTAGTTCTCCATTTAATTTCAACTCCTTCTCAAATTTTAGTTCAAGATAAAAAACTCTGCCTGCCTTTCTGATTAAATAGCGATCAGGATGCCTTGCAAAACAAGAATTTATAGTCTTATATCTTTTCTTAGAACCTGCTAACCAGGCATGAATATTTTAAGAAGTGCTAGATAAGTATTTCTTCTAAGCAAATGAGAAGGATTGAAAATAATATTGTTCAACACCTTAAAATGTAAGGTATGAGAATTTACAATGTGTTTGACCCCCAACAGACCTATTTGTGAGTTTAATCTGTAGATCTTTACACTTTGGTGATTGTCTACGTCCACTGGAATAATAATAGTTTTGCCCAAAGTACCGTTTGTTTATTGCAGTATGTAAATAACACTACACTTTAAAGAAGTCATAAATAGGCCACCTTTCTTCCCTTAGGAGTTTATAATTTGTCCCAGAATAAGGAAAGCAGATGCAACAGTTTAAGTGCAGGGAGTTTTTTAAATTAATGTACCAGCAATTTGTCAGAGGCAGGTGTTAAGTGGTAAATTGGGAGTGACTGACACAGTAAATAACCTGTTACAAGTATCAGGCCTAGCAGGAGAGTTTAAGTAATGTGAGTTGCTATTGGTATTACCATGAATACTGTACACACATGCACATATGTGTACATATAGAATTCATGTTAATGCCGTATGTATGAGAATGATATTAAATGTTTTGAAAGTCAGAGCTTTATATTAGCATATTGGGCTCAAAGCACTGGATTGAATGCCAAGTTGGGGAATTTTTCTGTTTTGTTTCTGATTTGTTAACTTCCCTATCATTGAAACTAAGACCTGAGAAAAAAAAAGGCATTGCTGTTGACTACCACATTTTTTTATTCTTAGTCACTCCATCCTTTTTACAGAACTAGGAGTTGCAAGTAGAGATATGGCATGAGTGAAGGAAACAAAATTGGATTTCACAGGAAATAACAGACATGTCAATCAGTAAGCTTGAATTTTGTATGGTATGAAACTGGAAGTTACCAAATATATTCAAGAAGGATTTTAATGTGTTTGTTAACAATAGAATAGAGATGACTTTTGCAGTAGGGTTGAGGGGTAATGTTGCAGGCGGAGGAGTAGAGAAAGCACTTAATGCAAGCTTGTTGGGACAGGGACTATAATGTCATTATATGTTCATTGTAGATAGGTATTAATCCAACATGACTAGTGATTCTAGTAGAAAGAGGACATGCATGCATGCCCCGACTACCCCTTCCCCTCAATCAGGTGGGCCCCTACCCCCGACTTACTTGTTGGGAGAGGCTGCCCACACCTCTCCCAACAAGTAGTGAATTAATTCACACACAGCTCCTAGTTCAAGTTAGGCAGCTTAAACTAAGAAAATCTGAGTTAAGTTGGTTATGCTCTCGGTTCAAGCTTTTCTTCCAGTAATTGAAGATCGAAAGATATTTCAATTCAGCAAGCAGGTATGTGTACTTCAAGGAGAAAGTAGAAAATAGTGCTTTCGGTTTTTCGGTTTTTCTATTAAGTAACCTTTCCACAAGGAGTCTGGACTAGGTGTTTTTTGAGTTGAACTATTCCAGCATAAATTTTAGAAAGTCTAAGGATTCACTGCTACCAAAAAAATGTAGATTGCAGTGACTGGGCCCTCAGGGATAAAGGACTGAGGAAAGGGTCTAGGCAGTTACAAAAAGTCAGTCTTAGATGTGAACATTTTTTAAAACAATTAAAGACATTGGTGCAGATGATACAAATGGGTTTAAGAGAAAATCTGTGTAGATATAGCACCAACTGCATTGTCTGTGCTCATACAGCATTGCTGAAGTGCTGAAGGATATCAACATAATGGATAACAGGTTTCACTATAGAAGGAGGGGAAGTTTTCATCACATACTAAAGCAACCTCTTATTTGATAAGAAGTCCATTTGGAAATGTTTGCGAAGATTTCAATTTGTAAATAAGGTTTAATTGGGAACAATAATGAAAAGCTGCAGAACTTGTTTTATGGGGCCATTAACTCCTAGGCTACTTGCCAGTCATGAAATACTGTAAAACATCTGGGATAGCCTGTTCCTGGACTTAGTGAGACTTCAGAATGTGCTGCAGGGTTAGTGGAATGGTCTTCCTCTTGCTGGACCTCAGACAGAAACAACCAATTTTAGTCTTGCTAAGAACTTCCTCTTTTGGTTTGCTTAAGTAATTTGCTCTGCTGTTTGCCACATCTTGTTTCAGAAGAATGGCAGGTTACGGGGAAAAGGTTTAATTCCCAGGAGTCTCCCAGCTTAAGAAGTTTGCAGGGAGTAGTAATTAGGAACCTGAAAGTTGCTGTGTGAAAGGAATGCAGTGATGGCTAGAGAGGCTAGGTTAAGGAAAAGAGAGCTGTTTCCATAGAAGCAATAGAGAAGGTCATAGTGAAGGTGACAGAGGTCCTGCAGGAATGTAAGGAGACACAGAAGTTAAATTTGCTTATGTTCCATCCCTTATTGTGATGCGTAAGAGTACTTGACATTTCATTCCTATGGCTTAATTTATGATTTGGATATTTTAAGACATGCTGCCTATACCCCTCTGCTTACAGCATACTGAAAATATGTATTAATGGGCACATAATACATGTAATATCTTCCTTTGATTATATGCTGTTCATTTATTTTACAGCATAGTTTTTTGATATCCTTATTTATTTTATGTTCGCTCACTGCAAATATCCTCTTGGCATGCAATGCAGTGCCATGCCACCAGAATGATAGAACTTCAGCAGCATGCTGCTGTGACTTGAGATGCCTGAGCACAACACGATATTGTTTTAGGATAACTAGCAGCGTCAAATCTATCTGTATGCACACACACATTGTTTTATTATCTTGAAACTTCAGTAGGTTTGTCTGAAAAACAACTTTCCATAGGACTGAATGCCACCCAGCATCTTTATCTGATACGTTCTTGCTCTTATCTGTAGCAGTTCTATTTCTGTTTTCAATGTGGCATTCAGTGAGTTATTTTAAACTCCAGTGCATATTCAAGCTTATGTTATCAGTTGTTGAGAAATGATCTGCTCTACTTCTATAAGAGGAAGTATATTTTAATATTCAGAAATAGTCTGGCATAGGTCCTGGTCTGTGCTGTATAATACTTTAAACAAAGTGTTTAAACTGGATGTATATTACAATGGCAAAGCATAGACCAATTCCAACGAAGGATTTTTATTAATGAAGTATCTTACATGTGCGTTTGTGGTGAAGAAATTCCCCAAATTTACTCCCTTTTCTTGAAGCACAAATAAGTGCTGTTACATCATATTGTTGCATACTGAACAGGGTTGCAGTGTTGTAGTATTCATTTAAGTTTGGGTTTACAAACAATACTTGAATAAATGCACATAGTTTTTTTCAGTTACAAATGGTCTAAAGTTCAATACTTGGGAACTATAACTTTTCACTGAGTTTTTATTTCTGCAGCTGAATCTATACTCTTCTGTCCTGCATTGAAATTTGCCATTCCTTCAAATGTCTTTGTGCTCTGATGATGATGTTCATGGGCTCTCCTTGGATCTTGGCTAGAAGGCAGGAGACAAAATGATTAGAAACATAGCCATGGAGTAGGTGATCTCCAGGGATCCTGCTTTTGGAAGCCTAGCAATGCCTCAATCACTATACTAAAATAGATTCTAAGTACCTAAAAATTTTGGTATTTGATTTTGGATTTTTTATCATGGAAAATCAGAGCCCCTTAGCGCTCACCAAGACACAGGTCCACACTCCTCGTGCCCCACCCATAGCCTCAGGTAATGGGGAATATCCACATTTTCTTCTGTATTCCTATAGGAAATGGAAAACCTAGATCCCTGGTGATTTCAGGTGTCATCTAGTCCAACTGCCTGCACAAGTGAAAGATGCATTATTTCTAAATCATCCTTGTCTAATGCTTATACAGCTTCTTGAAAACCTTAACTGAAAGATTCTATAAACTTCCCTAGGTGGCTTGTTCTATTGCTCTACTAGTGTAAGGAAAATGTTTCTGAGATTTAATCTAAATCTGCTTTGCTGCAATTTAAAGCCATTCTTTCGTATCAGCACCTCTGTAGCAAAGGGAGAATAGTTGCTTTCCCTCTTTTTTTATGGCAGCTTTCCAACTATATGTAAACTGCTGTCCTATCCCCCTTAATCCCTTTTGTACCAAATTAAACATACCTAGCTTTCTCGGCCTCTCCTCCTATAGCTTACATTCTTGTGCGTCTCATCCTTGTCGCTCTTCTCTGGATCTTCCCCAGTTTCTCTACATATTTCCTATGTACTATGTACATAGGAAGTATGTAGAGCCTAGACCTGCACATAGTTCTCCAGCTGAGGTCCAACCAGCACCAAGTAAATTGGTACAGTCGGCTCCCATGGCTTGCATACAATCCTCCTATTAATTCATCCAAAATTGGGTTTGCTTTTTGGTGACTCCATCACATTGCTGCTTAATTTTGA